GAGACAGAAAGGGCCACATAAACCATAGACTTCATCAGCCTGAGACCAGAAGAACTAGATGGTACCCGGCTACCACCAATGACCACCCTGACAGGGAACACAACAGAGTCCCTGGTGGAGCAGGAGAAAGGTGGGGAGCAGAACTCAAATTCTAGTAAGAAGACCAGACTTAATGGTCTGACAGACTGGAGGAACCTTGGAAAGCGTGGCCCCCAGATTCTCTACCAGCCCAGAACTAAAACAATTTCCAAGGCCCACTCTTCAGACAGGGATTGGAATGGACAGTGAGACATAAAGTGATACTCGCGAGGGGTGTGACTCTTAGCTCAAGTAGATATAAGAGACTAAATGGGCAGCTTCTGTCTGGAGGTGAGATGGGAAGGTAGAGAGGGTTTGGAGCTGGTTGAATGGACATGGGGTATCAGGGGTGGAAAGGAGGAGTGTGCTCTCACAGTAAGGGGAGAGCAATTAGGGTCATATAACAATGTATGTATAAATTTTTGTATGGGAGACTAACTTGAAATGTAAACTTTATTTAAACTACTACAATAAAAAAAATCTGAAAAAAATGTGAGCTTAAAATAGTAACATTTTTCAAGACAATTTTAAAGTCTTCAAGTTATATTAATTTGTAACCATATCACTATACTATGTTGTTTCTTTTTAGACTACCATAGTCAAATAAAGCTAATTTTATTTTCATACCAGTAGCCAAGTGTTGGTTATTGAAAACAGATTATTCTATGTTCTCATTAGAAAGAGACCTAACACAACTGGCATAACAAAGTTTATTAAGAAAATGTTCTGCATCCCATTTTGGTGAGTGGTGTCTAAGGTCTTAAAGTCTAGTGAGCAGCCATCTAAGATGCATCAACTGGTCCCAACCCACCTGGAGTAAAGGAGAATGAAGAACACCAAAGACACAAGGAAAGTATTAGCCAAAGAGACAGAAAGGGCCACATAAACCAGAGACTTCATCAGCCTGAGACCAGAAGAACTAGATGGTGCCTGGCTACCACTAGTGACCACCCTCTCTCAACAGACAGTCCCTGATGGAGCAGAAGAAAAGTAGGGTGCAGAACTTAAATTCAGTAAAAAGACCAGACTTAATGGTCTGACTAAGACTGGAGGGACTCTGGAAGACAAGGCCCCCAGACTCTCTGTTATCCCAGAACTGAAACCATTCCCGAGGCCAACTCTTCAGACAAAGATTAGACTGGACTATAAGACATAAAATGATACTTTGAAGAGAGTGCTTCTTAGCTCAAATAAATACATGAAATTAAATGGGCAGCTCCTGTCCGGAGGCGAGATGAAAGGCAGAATGGGACAGCAGCTGGTTGAATGGACACGTGAAATCCGAGGTGGAAAGGAGGAAGTGTGCTGTCACAGTACCAGGAGATCAACTAGGGTCACATAACAAAGTGTATATAAATTTTTGTATGAGAAACTAACTTGAACTGTAAGCTTTCACTTAAAGTACAATTAAAAAAAGAAAAAAAAAAAGAGAGAACTAACAGAGAATATAAGTATGTCAAAATACCAGAGAACTCCTCAGTTTTTAGTTGTAAAAATAAAAGATAACCAAAAAAAAAGTTGTCATTAGGTGAAATCATCTAAAAACTCATAAAGCACATAATCTGAACTTCAAAAGCAATTCCACACTCATGCTACCTCTCTTATCCCTTTTGTCTTCTCAACTGTCAAGTCATCCAACTACGACTGTTACATAGATATTTTAAAGATAAATTAAAAACCAACCCCTTAGCACAAT